AAAAGCAGCAAATTATCTGCCTGAGAAAGATGTCCTCTGTAGCATGGGGGAATAACTCATCACAGGAATCAAGACGGGTGCCTTCTGGTCTCAATCTCTAGAGCCCACAACCCTAGGTTCTCCTCACACAGCTCCAGTCCACTCTGCCCTCCCTCTGCTGGAGCCCAGGGTGAATGGCTATACACGGAACTTTGTGTGTGGGCTCTTTAGGAGGATCCCTGCATTTCCAGCTGTCTCTCCCTGGCAGACAGAAACCCTGCTGCTTTTCACAGCTGGGTGTTATGTGGGCACCTTTCTCAGTTCTGGTGCTCTTGGCTGGGGTTTAGGCCTCAGAGTCCTCAGTGGGAACCCCTCACAGCTGAGATAGCCCTCCGGACCTTCAGCTGCTGCCTATGGGAGCCCAGCCAGCCCTCTCGCCTCCGCACTTCCTGCCAGTTTCTATGCCGTTTCCACTTTTCCTGCTTGGTTGTGAGGGTGCTCCCTAGCTTGTCTTCAGTTGCAGTTGATTATTCAGGATGGTTTTGTCTATTTTAGTTGTAATTCCAGTTTGGTCCTGGGAGAGGGTCAGTGTAGCTTCCACTCAGTCAGCTGCCATCTTTAATCTCTCTGTGGCCTCTGTATAAAGCTCATGGTATAGTTTTTCTTTAGGGAATGTATGATGATAATGATGATAATAATTTTAATAATACGCTTATCATGCACTAGGCATTGTTATTAAGTGCTTTATGTCTTTTCTCATTTAATTCCCCCAATAACACTATGAAGTAGACAACTACAATTATTATCCTCATTTTGAGAAGGAGAAGAATAAGGCTAAGAGACTTTAAGTAACTTGGCCAAAATCATACAGCCAGTTTGCGGCAGAGCTGGGAAGGTCAGGATTCTCCCCAGGAGCTGGCTGATTGTGTGGTGAGCACCAAGTAAGAATGTTTCTTCCTTTACTCCTCTCTTCCTTGTACTTTCTCAACCTGTCTGTACTTCTGTATTTTCTTTCCCTCTGTTCCTGTTATTTCCAGGCCTGTCTTTGAGGTCCAACCTAGACCTCATTGCTTAGGGTTTCTGTCATTGTCATAGGCAGGAGCAAAATCCCCAAGAAGATCCTGAGCTTGACCTGACTGCTGGTCCCGCTTTCCTTGGCCTGCCTCAGCAACAGCCTTGCCTTGACCAGCTTCCAATGCCCTCTCTTTTCCCTCCCTTGGGAAGCCTTGACTGGGAGTTCTGACAGCTTCAACCTCCCCTGGCCACCTTCCCCAACCTTGGTGGCTCCTTCTAAATGTTAGGTTAAGTGCTGGAGGCTTTGGAGCAGGAGGGCCTTGAAGTGCAAATGATAATTGTGATGAATTTAATAACAATCCTGCTCAGCTGAGGTTCATCTCTGGCTCAGGGCAAGCTTCCACTTTCTCTCCGAAGTCATTTGTTTTCTCTCTGCATTTGACCCCACTTTGTGAAGCAGGAGACACCATACAGTTAGGAATCTTGAATCCTTTCGAACTTTTAATGTCCTCTGACTAATCTTGTTGATACTGTTTTTGTGGCCTCTTCTTCAAGAACAATGGGGGTGGGACTGGCTGCAGAATGAGGGTTGGGACTGACCCAGAATAGCACCCAAGTGTCTCAGGAGATTAGGGCTGTCCCCCTGATCTTTATCTTTAGCTAAATGAGCTTTAGCAGATGCACAATTAACAAAAGCATGCTGATGAATTTACTTAAGGACTGTGTGTTAGTAAGTCCCTTTTGTATAATAGTCTAACCAAATAGATGAGTTTTCAGAGCCATAATTATTCTGGCCCATTTATATTAGTTCTATTGAGTCTAGTCTCAGGAAAATGTTAATACTGACTTTCATCAACAGAAGCTGCTTTTATCCTTATGTCTGTTCCTAAGCTATATACGTTTGTCATAATCTTTCATCATGTGCTAAGCACAAGTAGGAGTTGAAGCATCTTTTCTCTCATACCATAAAAATTGCTGCCCTGATGGCATTTAAAATCCAAATTATGTAGCCAGCCACCTTTACAACAGTAAAAATGGCCGGTGGGGGAGGTGGGGATGGTCGTGATCCTTTCTTTGGAGCCTGGAGTTTAAGGAAGTGCTCCTGGAGATCTGGAATTGTCTTCCCAGACGGCATTTGTGAAGGTTAATGGCCACCCAAGGAAGGTTGTGTATCAGGGAATGATCTGGAGCCAGCCTCCCTTTCTGGCTCTTGCTGTGGCACCTCCCTGGAGTCCCCC